TCCATCTGTAACGCTATTGCGGTACACTGACCTTCTGCTGAGGACTGAGAACGACTCACAGGAGAAAACGAGCCACCCGCCCTACCCGTACACTCATCCTCTGTCCGAAGTCGTTTCCCTGGATTCGGCATCTCTCTATTCGAAAGAACCGGTCCAAAGACTAACCCCCTCGTGGGCTTATTCTGTTTTGGGCCCTTACTACTTGGCCCAGCCCCTTTCCCACTTCGCAGCCCAGTTAACTTCCTCGCCTCTCCTCCTCCTTGTGCACGTAACCCCTTGCCCGACGATATTGTTTCCTTAACTTGGAATACACGCACACTCCGTGGAATATTCCCAACCTCTTCATTCTCCTTATTCTCCTCATTAGTTTCCATAACCTCTCCGCTCTCCTTTCCTTCCGCATCTTCTGTCAATCCACCAAAACGATTAGAAATGGCAATATTCCCGGAACCCGTAATATTCCCAATCGATCCAACATTCCTTTCTTGGCTATTCCCCGTCACCGTCTCTCCCATTGCCCTAGACGGCGGCTCCTTCTCTACTGTCCGTCGTGCTGGCCGTCGTATCACCGTGAAACCATCATTACCATGGATCTGACCTTTACGTCCCACTCCCGTATTATTCTCCCCCTCCGTGGTTACTTCCCTTGACTCCGAAGGACTCGTTTGCCTCGCCTCTCTTCCCGCCTCAACTCTCATCCGCGGGCATGTGTGCACCAAATGGCCATACATTCCACACCCAGAACAGATGTTCGTCAAACCTTCATAAGAGACGTAGTAGCGCTCCTCATTTATCAAAACCGTCCCTTTCAGAGGTTGTGACAAGTCCACCTCCACACAAACCCGTGCGAACCGAGCTCTATCAAACTTCAAAGTCGTCAAATCCACTCTAATAGGCTTCCCCAACCCTTCCGCTATGATCATCAGAATGGAACTATGATACAAGTTCATCGGAATATTCGATAAGCGGATCCAAACCGGCATTGTGACAATGTCATGACGTAGTGGATCAAAATCCGGTGACCAGGCTTGTACCATCAAATAGCTCCCAAACATCTTCCATGGTCCACCGGTTAACGCCGCCATATACTCCTCTTCAAACTCAAACCGGACCACAAAAAACTGGCGCGGAAGGTCAGTCACCACCATCGCCCCCTGTGGACGCCACATCTCCTTCAACTTCCGACTTAACACCGCGATAGACAGACTCCTTCCCAGCACCTTCACAACCATATACTTCTTCCATAAACCATTCATCGCCTCCATCACCTCACGACCAACCGTAATCACCGGTTCTCCATTCAAACCATCCGGAAACGTCAACTTCGTATGAGTTTTTACAAACTCATGCGGCACCACTTCCTCTGGGATAGGCATTCCACCAGCATTGCTTCCGACCACCTTTTGCACCCAGACACCCCTCCCGTCCGGCGGATCCCCTGGTGGACGGCCCGCCTCAGTCATGTTCGCATCCTCCTCGCACGTATCCGAAACCCTAGAGTCGCCGCTCATCTTTTAAAAGTTGATTACATGTTTTATCACACAACAAAGTTTTTAAAAGTATATATTTTTAAATAGAGAAAGGTAAAGATAGATTAAGCTTGATGAAGCTTATCAATGTTTTAGCTCTTTCTATAAAATTAACAAACTTGTATAAGAACAATAAATAAACTAGCTAAAATTGTAATTATATACTAAAATGAAAAAAAGGAAAAATATATTTAATTTATGGAATTCTTGGTCAATAATTAAACAATAATTGATTTGGTTTGACCAATATATTATCTACCTTGCTAGGAGGTATAAAGTAAATGCAAGAATACGAAAGTGCACATTTACATTTTGACTATTTGTACATATCGGCAGAGAGAATGGTGTCTTCCTCTGATTGGTTCTTTGTCTTGTTAGTCGCATTTTTGCTACAATGTCTCGTAGTCTCAGCTTCGGCCTTGACCTCCACAAAATACATCGATCAATTATGTCAGATGGAGAGTATCAAGGACAGAGCCTTTTGTTTGCAAACGTTGAGGACTTATCCTCCTGCGGTTTCTGCCACTGCCTTGGTAATAATATCTAACCCACATATTAGGTTTTTAAATAGTATATTTTACATGTAAGGATTGTCAACTGAATTTTGAACTTATGTGTTATATACCACCTATATTAAAATATACATATACAATATTAGGTCTTAGACCAATAATCCGGTATTTGGAATTTTATTCGTGATTTGTTTCAATCCGCTTTGGAAACAGGATATCATGGTAGCGGATTTGGATCCGGATAAAAAAGAAGTAAATCAAGCGGGATAAAGCTACAAATACAAATCAAGATAATTAAAAAATTAGAAGTTGAGATTTGGATCCGGCCGAACATTTTATATTATAATAATATTTCATTATTTAAAATTTTAAAATATTTTTTTAGATTTTAGTTTATTATATTATTTTAATTATTTATATTGCATTAATCTATTTTCATATTTTATATTATAAAATATTATTATTTAAAATCTGGATTTGGATATCCGGCTATTTTTACGGATATCCAGGGTGACCATATATTAAAATAATGGATCTGTCATATACAAATTTGGATCCGGATCCGGATAGGATATAACCAAATAAAATTAAATTAAATAATGATTGTGATGATCATGAATTGTTAAAAGAATTGTGGAAACACTTTTTACAATCTAACAAACAATATATATATCAAAACTGCAATAATGTTTGTTACTCATTGTTAGTGTTAAATATATAAAACTGTTATGCACTTTCAAAATATTTAGCAATATTTTCATATACAGTTTCCACTTGCGGAAGTCGTGCTCTTGGGCGTTGGCGTACCCTATGCCAACTTGTTGATGCAATCTGCAGATAGAGCAGCAGAAAAGGTACCAGCTCTAAAGGAACAGTTCAAGCAATGCCAAGATTCATACGTTTCTATTGTAATGAATCTCAAAGCTGCTGCTTCAGAACTCAAGTTATCTCCAATTAGTGCCAACTATGATACTATGGTTTGTTTCGACCAAACAACCAGAGTATATAATTTGATTGGGAAAAACAAAGACTCGACTTCTAAGAGTCTCATGGAGATGACAATGCATATGGAGAAACTCATACATCTTGCTGTTGGAGCCACCGAAGTTGTTGGAGGAAGAAAACACAAAAGATGAGAACCTAACATATATCAATATGCTTGTCTCAATATATGATTGAAAACTTTTTAAATATATATGTGCATCGTTCCAAACTTTCATCTATTATATAAATCTTAAAATTATATAAATCTTAAAGGACTAAATTATCTAATTGTTTTTTTCTTTCAACGTAAAACGTTAAGATTGGCTCATGAAAGCCAATCGGGAGGACAATTGTTAACATACTTTTACAAGATGCGGACTAAAACGAGCTTTAAGCGCCAAAAATTCCGTTTTTACACTAAAAAAACTAATAATCATTATATTATCTCAATGCAAATCTCTTACTTGAAAAGTGTCTCGTCCATTTGTTCATCCTCAATATAAGACTATAATATTTTTTCTTCTTCATTACGATTTTTCCTTTCAACTTTTCTGAATTCAGATAAGGAAGCCAACTTGTTTTGCTCTTTACGTACATGCATGGATCACTAAAACGACATGTTCTCATGTGATAATTGAATTGAACGATTTTTCAATTCGAGAGCAAGGAGAGGGAAAATACAAAAGTTGACATGGTTTGCATCAAGATAACAACTAAGTTTCTAAGATCTATTTGAGAATGTTACGTTGAAAACATTTAAAGAAAAGTTTGATAAAAAAAAAAAACATTTAAAGTAAACGTTGCATTTGTTGTAAAAAATAATAAGCAAATTGAACGATTCTTTTCGTTATTTGATGTTTCAGTTTTTTCGTTCTACGAAAGTTATTTAATTCCACGAAAAATTTGAATTAAAACCGTCAAAATTTAATCTAAATAGAATTTCAATCAACAATAAGTTCAAGAATTACTTATTACAAGCCTATTATATTAAAATTTATAGTTTGGTAACAATTATGATGCATGCCATACTGATTCATTGTTACTAAATATAAAAATATAGTACTTTGCCAATATATAGCTTGTCATCTACGAAAATAAAATACATATTAATATTGAAATTTTCATACATAACCAAAGATTATTGTTTCACACTGCAAGATAACAAATGATATCGGAACAAAAGAAGAAGAAGAATATTTTTCAAGGGAAAAAGAATTTCAAACAATAAAATTGATTAAAGCGACATTCATATATATGGAATATAATGCAAGTTCATCTTCATAGTAATGTGATGATGATCAGTATTTGGGAGTAGCGGGAGCACCCTTGGAACCAGTGAAGTAGAAAGGACCAACACTGAAGAGCTTCAAGTTCTTGTCGGAGTACATCGACAAGGGAACTCCGGTGAGACCCTTGTTGACATTGGTCGGGTTCTTGCAACCCTCGACGGGAGATGTGTAGAGTTTGACGTGGCAATGAGATAGGTTCTTGATATGAGTTAGCTCCACGTGAAAGTATCCCTTAGAGTTAGTTGGATTACTATATGTCACGACCTCGTTCTTGTTCTTCCCGTATGATCCCATCTCAGTGCACACAATCTTTGCCTTTGCTCCTACATGAAATTTAATCAACCAAAATTTCTAATTAGTAATTAATAATTTATGTTATGCTAATTAAGTAGCCCTAGGAAAATTAACCGAACCGAATTTTGGGTAATTCGGTTTGGGTATGGTTAGCATAATGTAAACCGATTGAATATACATTAATATTAAGTTCGGTTAACTATTTGGTTTTGTTAAACAGCGGATAACCAAACGTTGACTGAACTAACATAAACTATTGATTAAATTGATACAAACCGAGATTTTAGATTTACCCATACTCTTACCGGAACTAAGCAAAATTTTCTAAAATTACCTGAAAATAAACTAAAAATCCGAAATATTTGTTACTTCACTAATTAATTAAAATATCCGATAACCGAATCAAACCAAACTGTTGTTTATTTCGGTTATTTTCAGTAGTATTTTCAAATTCAAAACAATTCGGATAACCAAACCGAAAAATCCAAATTAACCGAGGCGCCTAAGGTTAAAATCCTTTTAAAAGGGATGGTTTTTGCCGTGTCAGATTATTATTAATCGCATAGTCTAAGGTTATAAAAACAAATTGGTTCATATATATAAGATATTTTTATAAATATTTATACCTTGAATAGGGTAGGTTTCATAGCCGTTCTTGCATAAGATGATGCCATCAATGGCTTTAATGATCTCTGGGACGTATGGCTTGGTGGGTGGAGTGTATGTTGGTTTTGGTACATATGGACGTGGATGAGAAAAGCTTGGGGACTTTTTGTAGACCGGTGGAGTGTAAACCGGAGGTGGGAGAGTTGGCTTAGTGTAAACCGGAGGTGAGAGTGTAGGCTTGTAAACCGGTGGAGTGTAAACCGGAGGTGGGAGAGTTGGTTTAGTGTAAACCGGTGGAGTGTAAGCCGGAGGTGTGAGAGTTGGCTTAGTGTAAACCGGAGGTGGGAAACTTGGTTTAGTGTAAACCGGTGGAGTGTAAGCCGGAGGTGGGAGAGTTGGCTTAGTGTAAACCGGAGGTGGGAGAGTAGGATTTTGAGTAGGTGGTGTGTAAACAGGAGTTGGGAGGGTGGGTTTGTTAACCGATGGAGCGTAAACCGGAGATGGGAGGGTGGGTTTATGAACCGGTTTAGTGTAAACCGGAGAAGATGAAGGAGTATAGTATTCAGCAGTGGCAATAGTAGCCAAAGCGAGGAGGCAAATCACGAAAGAGGAGCGTATGATGGCCATTGCAGAATGTTCTTATTTGTGTTTTTTGTGTTTGAAGTGGGATGATGAAAATAGTTTCATCAAATGGTGTTATATAAGAAAATGTTAGGGTATTCAAAATTTCAAGAAATTATAAAAAATATTATCTTGAAAAGGTGAGTTATTGGATAGTCATGTTTGGGATTAGTGTGATGCACGATTTATAAACATCTTCCCCATTTACTAACCATGCATGCACACGGCACCGACCAAAAGAACAGAAAAATGTCGATATAGGCATTGTTTTAAAAAAAAAAATTAGCCAATATAAATATGTGTATAAATATAATTTTTCATCTAATGTTACAACTATAAATGTCGCCTATGATAAATCCATAATCTTATTTCCCTTATTGACGTTCTACGACAACCATAGATATTGAAAAGTCTTTCAAAAATTATTTGTAATGTGATATGAATTATGGTTTTATGTTCACAATGTGCATCTATTGTGATCTTGATTTCAGTTCTATGTTTAGTATTTGTCATTGTTGCTTAAAATTTTGACCGTCACTTAGTCGTCTATCATGAGTATATTACTACTCTTGTATACTTAATTAGCACTATTAATTAGCTCCTTTATTATGTTTGTTTATAATAACCGATCATTATCAATGGGTTTTTAAGCAAATGTTAATTTTTTAAACAAATTTTAAGCTAAGATTTGCTTAAGAGAGCGTTGATAATGATACTCTTATTCACACAAGTGTAGGGGCGGACCTAGTCACAAGGAAGGCAGGTGATGTGACCTGGGTAAATTTTTTATTTTCCCTTTTCACTAAAATTTTTTTTTCCCTTGTATTTGATCTAGGTGGAATAACATCTTGGGTTCGCATGAGATTTATAATAGAACCTTCTCTGAAGAATCACCATGACTAACTACATCAGATGGATCTATATTATGACTGGGTTTAGCTCTTTTCCTAGTACGCAACTTTTCAATGGGAGGTGTTTCAACATAGGCGTCATCATCCATGATTTGGTTCATGTCCTCGGTTGCTTGAAGATCATCTTCTTTTTCACATTTCAGAATCACCACCAAGTCCAAACGTGTTGTTTCCAGTTGCTATAGAAGTTTCAAAAATTAATTGTAAATCTTCGTAATCTTTGAAAGTGCTGGTCCTCATGTGTTCATGATTTGGATGACCCTGAGAAAACAAAATTCATTTATTAGTTATCAATACTAGTAAAAAAAAAAAGAAAATAGATGTTGATCTTAACACAAGAATATTTCCGTCAATACAGGCTCTCCACACATCATCTGGAGCTGTAAATTGTTTTGCGATGGGATCCAATCCAAAACCAAAAGCTCGGTATACACATTATACTTGTAACGCCCGTGTCTGGAAATCCGGGTGGTGTCGATCGACACTGTGGTCGGGTGTCGATCGACACTAGTGATTTTGGTTTGACGGTTTAAGTTTTAAATCGTCGGTTCAATTGAGGTTTTGGTTAGGGTTTAACCCTAGGTCACGTTTAAAAGAAAAAAGGTCATGTTTTGTTGGGAGGTGGCCGCTTTTATTCTTTTAAAAGGTTTCTAAGTTCTCTAGAGAGGTTTTGTGAGGTTTGAGAAGTGTTTTGAGGCTTTTTCTTGGTGTTTCTGTCCTTGGGAAGAGAGATCTCGTAGCTGTGGTGTTAGGAGAGTCCTTGGTTGCTGTTGTTGTGATCTGTTCGTCCTTGTTTCTGTCTTTTTGAAAGGTGAGTGCATGACTAGGCTGATCTAAGCAGTTTTGATGCATATTTTGAGTGTTTCTTCTGATTGATATTTGATTTCTGTGTTTGTATGCTTGTCTATGTGATATGGTGTCTTGGTACGAGTCTGGGAAGGAGATAGATCAGGCCTGGAGTCCTGGAGTTGGTGGATTCGTCGATGAGAAGCGGCTGGAGCGATGTTAGGGTTTCGGTGTCGCTCGACACCAAGGGAGGGTGTCGATCGACACCAACTTTCTTTCTCGCGAGGATGGTCGCGAGTGTCGAGCGACACCAGCGGATGGTGTCGATCGACACTGCTCGTCAGAACGGGTCATGTTATGTTGTTTTGCGTTGTATTGGTGGTGGTTTGAGTTATACTTGAATGTGTTCATTTCTGCTTGTGTGTATAGCCAGTGGTGGGATGATTGCCTCACTAAGTATTTATGAAATACTTATGCATCTCTTTCTTTGATGCAGGTAAAAGCAAAGTGTGATCCGTGGAATCATGGCGAGGAGAGGAGGATGATCTAGGCACTCATTGGTGTTTTAGGTTATTGTTGGATTTATTAGGGTGTTAGAATGGAATTTAGAAACATGTTAGGATGATCATGTTTTGGAATAATGTTTGGTTGAACTTGTTGGTTTAATGGAATTGTTTTATTGGATTTTTGGTTAAGTCTTCCGCTGGTTAATATTGTTGGTTTACTTTAATGAGATTGTTTGGTTTAATTGATTTAAATTATTATGTCGGTTTAGCTGGTTCGAATTAATTGGGTTAATCCGGTTTGCATGTTTAAAAGAAAAAAATGGGATGGGTTCTTTCAATTTGGTATCAGAGCATTTACGGTTCTAGGACAAGATT